CAAGAAATGTCAAGGGGGGAATTTCAAACTTGTCAGGGATTTTGGTCGACTACAGTGCAGCAGAACTGAGCCGTCTGCTCTGGGGCTGGTCCAGAAACCCCGGCGGACGGGGGCAGGGAGTAAGAGGGCGACGGAGCGACCAAACCCGACCTGGTGACGGTAGCCTGGACACGGGCCATACCGGCCCCCAGCCCCCCCTCCTCCGGATGAGGAGGGGCAGCTCATGGCTCTCTGCTGAGATCCGGTCCAGTCAGTGGCCCAGTCGACACTTCACTTCGAATTGACGTCAACTCTGAGCTTCGTTTCAATTCGCCCGTTTTATGGTGGAAGTTTAGAATTGTGAGATTTGCAGAGAAAGGAGGTGTTGATGGGGTTTGAACTTCTCTGTACGTCCATTTTACCCACTGAACTATCATTATTCATCTATGACAATGTAAATTCTGTTTTGCATTCTATGACCCCTTTAACTAAGTTCATATAAAGACAATGACTTATCGTGTCTCTGTTTGGCAGGTGTGTATCATCGAGTGCAAAAGCAACGTTTCTCCTTCTCACTCCTGGGACATCTGCCGTAAAGCACTCACTTCTTCTTCCCTTGACGGTACCATGACAAAAAGATCCCAAGAAGAAGCTGATGTTCTACTTCCTAAAGAAGAAGAGCAAATAGATGGGGGCCTGTTACTGCCCATCGAGTTACAACGATTCAACCATTTCACCCGCGCACTCGACGTTAACGACAGAAGCCTGGTTAGCAAGAGCAGCCAGCTGAGCAGCATCTTGGATTCCCAGAATGATCTGTCACTTGCCAATGAGTATGAAGAAGAGGAGGCCGAGCAAGGAGAGGATGTTGGCGTGGCTGCAAAAGGACAGAGTGATCCAGAGCTTAGCCTCTCCAAGAGGTTTGGTGGCTTCGTCAAAGGAAGGCACGGCTACAGAAGGTTGATGTATCCAGGAAGGTCTTACCAGAAGAGGTATGGGGGCTTCATTGGCATTAGAAAGTCTGCCCGCAAGTGGAACAACCAAAAAAGGTTCAGCGAGTTCCTGAAGCAGTACCTGGGCATGACCACCCGGGCCACTGAGTTCAACAGTGTTTCAGGAGACCTGGCCCAGCAGAATGAAGTTTAAGGGAGCGCACCAATCACCAGATGTGTTTCAGTGATCTACTTTTGTAATGTTTGAACATTTCAGAGTTCATCTGGAAACCTTAAAGTCACATATTTAAATAAAGTACATAAAAAAGGCAAAGCCATTATTTAAGACTCCAATTTTAGACCTAGTTTTACCGAGACATATGAATAGCCTTTTCCTTTTCTCATCCGTTGTCTCTACTGATAAGAAGTCTCAAAACCCCTGGATACTGAAAAGTGTATCATTTAAGTATTTTAGAGGAACACAAAAGAAAATAAAGAATAGAAAAGCTTTTGTTTTCCAAAACCATTTTCCATCTAACCTTCTGTAGACATTCAGACAGATGGAGGAATCATTCCACCATTTGTCAGTCCATCCATCTCCTCCCTCTATTTTTTTTCAGTGTCTGGATAAATTAGTACTTAAACCAATGGCAGGGAAATATACACATTTGTGTCTGAGAAAGTGTGGAACTTTGACATGGAAATTTGTGGAAATCCTGTGTTCAACCCTCCTCTCCACCATTTACTCCCCTCTTGCACAATAAATGTATTTATTGTTTTAGTGGATTGGCTGTTGAAGCTCTTCTTGAGATTTGCCAAAAAAAGAAATATTAAAAAACCTTAAGCTTTGATATTTACTGAAGCTCTAATACAGATTAAAATTTATGTTTGTTTACATTTGTTTTGTACATTTTTATGGATGAAAATTTGAACCCTTTCTTTTTCGAATGTCGCCATCTAGTGGACAAATACTTATAGCAGGTCTCTGTAATTGCTTTTTTTTTTGTTTTTTTTGTTTTCTTACCTATTTTTTCACCCATGTTCTGGTGTTTTGTGATAAGAGCTTTGTCAGATGTGTATCTTTATGTGATTTATGCTGAATAAATTAAAATGTTTGAATCGACACTCATATTTTGTTAGTTGAAATCTCCTTGATAATAGTTATGATACAGATAAATCAAAGTAATTTGACTTTAACGACTCTAGACAGCACCCACCATTCATCACTTATGTTGTGCATTGCTGAGCATATATTTAATGGCCTCTTGTGTTTAATAACTTGTGTGTAAAGATTGTCTCTAAGCTGTACTGATGTAAAATGTTTCCGTTGACCTGGGGGAGTTGGTGTAAATAGCTAAATGAAACATGATAATAAATATAGTTTACTATTTCTTTTGTGGCTTTTCATGCAGCAACTGATTTGGTGTCTTGAAGCATTTTGTTCCTTACATCTATACTGCACTTTATATAGCTATCTAAGAGTGTGCTTTTGCTTTTACAAGTCACATTAGGCTGGGTTACTTTGATTTTCTAACATTTATAACACTATCCTTAGCTGGTACTTACTAACATGGTTAACCATAGTTAAAAGTTTATGAGCAGTAACTGAGTTCTTACTAACTTCTAAAATCTAAATACGAAAGGTGTGTGCAGATAATCAAGATTTTTGCTTGACAAAGCTTGGATTGTTGCATCAGAATTAAAACTTTACAAAATAGCATTTTAGTCATTATTTGTTTTTTAATTATTTTATAGATAGGGTATGAGATGTATAACAAGATATAAGTATAAATAAAAATTATAACCAGTAAAAATCGGATTACAGAAATAAATGTTTAGACATCCAGAATGTTTATTTTAGATAGGAGTAATGTCTTTTCAGATATCTGAAAGTAACGGCCCAATACACATGAATAGGGAAAAGTGACGTCATTTGTCCTAGTAAAAATTACATTTCAGATATCTGAAATGT